ATAGCTTTATATTTAATAATGTTCTCTTTGCACTCATTATATTTTCTTCAATCCGAAACAATTGTTTATTTGCAGAAAGCGCATGAAATTTTCGTGCTATTTCTTTTAAAAATTGGTTGTTATATTGGGTTTTTTTGCAATCTTTATTGATTATTATGATCAAATTAAGTATTAAACCAAATTCCATCTTTAATTAATGTTATTTGAAAGATTTAATTAAATCAATAAAAACTTATTAAGTCAATAAATTTATCACTATCACCAAAACACGTCAAATTTTAATTTCGACCGATGCTCGATGATTGATCGAATATAACTCAGTGAATAAAAGTTTATTCCAACGATTCCACACTCTATGTTTAATTTGAAAATAAAAATGATCTATTATATACAATTTCAACATCTCATTTTTTTATAAATAAAATATATAGATCTTACTAGTGCTTCAAAAACCCAAATTGAAATAAAAATTTATAGAATAGATATCTTGTAAAAAGGTTCGAATTCGTTCGAACTTATTTATAATATAAAATACAATGAACAAAATGTTGTTTAAAAGCCAATCAAATTTCTGTAGAACATACCAGAAACGGAGTATAACGAAGTAAACGGTTTACTGGCAAGTTAAGTGAACAATTCATGGCATTTTGATTGGACAATCATTACTCGTAACTTTGTTTTACGAATTTTTGTATATGTGCGCTGTATGAGGCTTTTTGTACATCGATGTTTAAAATATTTCTTAGTGTAATTTAAGTTCTGAATTTCCTTGTCGGGTTATTGATTTAAACATAAGACTCTATACGGATCGAGTTTTACCTTGTTTATAATTTGTAACGGTAAATAAAAAGAGTACAGACGCCGTAGCCGGACTCCCAGACCCAGTCTGCTTGCGGTGGAGTTTTTCTTTCTGGATCTTTGAGGATTGGCGCCCCTCTTCCTTTACTCGGCTTCTTGAAAGGACGAGGTGCCAAGCCCGCCCCAACACATCACCCCTGATTTTAGGGGTAGGTTGCGTCCGTTAATTTCACCAAATGCTTTTACTTCTTTGGGAGGATTCTCAAAAAACGGATTTTAAAAACAATTAAACTCGGTCATAAATTTATATATCGACAAAAACTGAATTCAAAATAAATTACGGGATTAAAAATAGAGCAATAGATCAATTATCGAATTTTGATTGGTTATGTAAATTGATCTAACGCTAATCTAATTTTAAACGATTAACAATCATCACGTAAATCATATGATTGCTGTTAGAGAAAATCTAAATAATAAAACTTGGAGGTGAAACCGCCCTCATGTGCAAATGAGATTTCCAAAATTAGGCGTAATAATAAGGTTGTGATCAACATTACGGAATCTTTGATCTTTACATGTATTATAGATGAAATATTTTAGCGGAAGTAATACAAACGCGAATGAAGAATGTATGTAAGGGATGGAATGAAGTGTTAGGTTAAGATTGAAGGGAAATAGATAAAATCCCTGTCCCTTAAGGAGATCCCTAGGAGTTGGGTTGTGAGAATAATAGATTAATTGATAAAGGCACCTTTCTCTCCCATACAGATGAAGAGTTGTAATTTCACCCTTGTAAAGAACAAAAACATCCAAGGATAATAATTAACAAATTAACAAACGACCAGATTGCACAAGGGTCATAGTCTAATTGAAAACAAACTCGCATAAGTGTGTGTGTCAAACTTAATATCTGCGTCAGATTAAAATAATTGTAATCACTTTAATATCATAAATCCTAATGAAATTCTGTTTAAATTCGATCTGAAATAATTTTAATTTGATGAATGATATATGAGTGCCGCCAAGGGAAAACCCGTCATTGAATTTTCAATTATATTTTGTGTACAGTTAGCCATCTATGGAAAATCTATCATTATGATAGATTTTTCATAGATGGCTAACTGTACACAAAATATAATTGAAAATTCGGTGACAGGTTTTCCCTTGGCGGCACTCATATACATCTTTATTACAGTATTATTTTATCCCTTACACCTTAAAGTATTCACAAGCGAATTTGCCTGGGAGCAGATATCCAATAATTTAAGGGATAGTTAACGATACACAAAAGTTTTGTATCATTATTGTTAATTACACCTTAAATTATTTTTATATACCCATGTGAACCCAATTCCACATAATCCGCCGATATGTATGGTATATCAACGTCTGATATGGATTAAAGGTTCTAATTGGCTAAATCCTTATTCCACCTCAAAATTTTGAGCAAAATGTCATCAAATGAAGTTCTATAAGACCCAAAAAATCAATAAAAATTTTTAGTATTAAAAAAACTATATACAGCAATATTTGTGGAAGGCTTTCGAATAGACAATTTTGTCTTCTTATAACACCAACCAGATATTCTTGATTTACGTGAGACCTGTCAGAAAAAGAGCGTCTGTACACAAAGTTGCAGGCCAATTTGCCTATAAAACAGCGTAATGAATAAATATGTCACCTAAATCATGCAAAGTTAAACTTTAGGTGGCTAGTCTCGTTAATTTTATCGGGAAAATCTGACCATCAACTAGAACATTAAAAAATCATAATAACTAATATATATTGTGGGTGGGAACGAGACTTACTGTTTAAATTAGTATTTCAGGGTATTTCAGGGCATTTCAGGGTATTTCAGGGCATTTCAGGGTATTTCAGGGCATTTCAGGGTATTTCAGGGTATTTCAGGGTGGAGTTTATTTTATATAAACCCAACATATATATTAGGGGTAGGATTACAATAAGGTTAGTTTGTACCAAATTTTTTGCTAAAGCGTAAAAGGTAATTTTATAGGCAGTCTTTTGAATTACTCTTAAAAAGCATGATTTATCGCTGTATGTACTGCCTTGGAATTAACGTCTGTAAAAATTTTCTCGTGTTTTTCATTGTCACATATAATTAAAAAAAGCTGTTAATGGCGAAATCTCATGAAAAAGTTTTCTATTAATATATGAATACCGGTAATGGTTTCATATATATATTTTATTTTAAGAACGAATTATCAAACAATTTATTTGAGAAAAAAGAATTTTGCGGGTACAGTAACAAGAAAATTATAGGCGATTGTTGATACGATAAAATCGGATGCAATTACCGAATTAGAGTTTTTAGCGCGCAAATTGCCCATGTGACATATATGAATAGACTGATATAATACTGTAATAATTGCTACGGTAATTGCTACGTATGGTAATTGCTATAGTGATTGCTATGGTAAAAATAATTAAAATGAATTAATGTAGAAATGATTTTAAAAATTTAATGGTACGTATTTAGAATTTATCAACTATATCAGTAAAATTTTAAAAACTTTATGCTGGCGAAGAATTAAAGTTTTGAATTAAGGTTTTTCAAAAACAATTCTTAAGTTTATTACAATGTTCTTTTGCATTAGATATTATGATAATCTATGTACGTACGAACGTACGTACGTACGCATGTACATAAAAGATAAACATATTTATGTTTGTGTATTCACGATATATAATTCTATTAGTACCCAGATCACTGTGTTAGGTGTTAATCAAAAATACCCTGATCCATATGTGTACTATCTGAAACAAAGTTTCCCCTAACATCCAACACATCCAACGGTCTTATTACAAAAAATTCTTATATTCTATATTCTGTACGACTCACTCTCGTTCAACTTTCGATACATATATGAATAATCCGGATGTTTTACTATAATAAGATGGATACTATGCGTGATTATAATTTTTTCAATATCAGAATAAGATATCCGAGTTTTTCGTGCAGCATACAGTACCCGGGAAGAAATTTCTTATTTTGATAAATAGGTTTGGCGTTGTTCCTTATTCTTTTTTTCTTATTCTATTTTGTATTGTTATTAAATGTCATGTTTCGGATATTAAACTACGTACGTACGTATATGCGTACGTACGTATTAAATTAAGCATATCGACTAAATGCGCTTACTGAAGCTAAATGGTTGGTTAGTGCTATTCTGCAGGAGTAGTTTAATATATTTGAGGCAAAGATGTACCTATTTTAAGATTGACCCAATAAAATGAAATAATTGATTGCATAAGCGCATAAAGATATCGGGAAAAGACATTCAAGATTTACAAAGGTAATCCTATCGCTATACGTACGTACGTATTATCATTACCGATGTCGAAATGAATTTACGCTAATCTTAAGCCCTTTGATTGTTATGTAGCAAATCGGAATATTATTCACCATCCTAAGTTTGGTAATTTTGGTAATTTTGGGACTAATTTTAGGTATTCCGCATAATGAAACTAATGAAACGATAATGATAATGCTTTACGTACCATTAATTAGCCACCTAATTTGAAATCTCTTTAGCGTTAGCATTACGATTCATTACTAAATTACTAGCGTCACACTGATATACAGTACAAGCAAATCATAGATGAACACATCCACACATCTGCGTTACTAAATAAATTTTATCCCCAAAAAAAATTTAATTGTTTTTTATACGTTAAATTTATTTCCCCACTAATTTCCGAAAAGGTTGGGGTTTACCATTAGTGACTGTGTCATTTGTAAATATAGAATAATTAACACCAATATGTATCGGAACCTTATTCCAGCAGAAAAATTCAGTAAAACGTCCTATATTTAGATCATCGTGACTAGGTCTTTTCAATAACTATGACTCATCATTCATACACATTTATATAGTGTGTAATTTATCCATGAAATTCTTAATTCCATTAATTCCATTTATGTTACGTCATGCTCTTCAATATAAATTTGTATAACAATGAAAACACCCGTGCATCTTAAATTATGCAGTAAATATTTCTTGTACGTGCTTAAAAACCTGCGTGATTATTATTAATCACCCCATCTTAAATCTTATATTTTTCACATAACTTCTATAATTCTCTATAATTCTCTATAACTTTTGTTTCTATAACCTTTTTTTTTCATCTTTCTATAATTTCTTTTTTAAAAAATTTTCTCGATACAATAAATAATAAAAATGACCGCAGCGACCTCTTCCATGGCTGACATTGCTAAACCTTCTTTGGGTGTAATGAAAAGAAAAAGCATTATTATCCCTCAATCACTTAACCATCGTAAACTTAAAGATGCAATTAAAAAAGTTGTTGATGAAATATTAGAACTTTTCATTGAAGCTCAACAAATTGGCAAAGATGATAATGGAACTACAAAAATGATTTTGGACCATATTAAAAAGCGAAATACTAATGCTGTAGAAGTCCTAGAATGGTTATTAAGTAATCAACATACGCTGCAATACAAAACTCTTCTTGGTTACTTTTATTTACATGACATTGGCACGGAAATAGATACCAGAAAGGCTTATGTTTTGTATTTAGCAGCTGCAAAAAAGGACTATCCTATTGCTCAATATTTGCTTGGTGAATGCTATTCGTCGGGTTCCGGGACGAAAGCCGACGATAAACTTGCATTCCAATGGTACCAAAAAGCTGCTGAAGGTGGAAGTACTAATGGTCAAAATTGGGTTGGTTATTGTTACGAATTCGGAAAAGGTACCCATAAAGATTGTAATAAAGCATTCAATTATTATAAGAAATCTTCAAGGCAAGGAAATATGGTCGGAATGCATTTTCTTGCTGATTGCTACGAAAAGGTATCTTGATAATAATAATAATAACAATAATAATAAACTATAATAATAATAATAATAATAATAATAATAATAATAATAATTAATAATAATAATAATAATTATTATTATTATTATTATTATTATTTTATTATTATTATTATTATTATTATTACTATAGTTTATTATTATTTGTATATTATCTTTATACTATTTAATATTTGTTATTCGCGTTTTCAGGGAACTGGAACAGCAAAAAACGTAGATATGGCAATTCATTATTATTCCAAGGCGTCTAAACTTGGCCACGAAAGCTCACAAATTGTACTGAATAAACTCTTGAAGGCAACCAGTTCTCCTCCATCGTAGACCTCCTTCATCGTAGGATTCTTCCACCATCGTAGATTCTTAAATTAGTAGATTTAAAAGTTAGTCACATGTTTTATATGTTTATTACAAAAATGATAAAACATTTCATTTTTTCGTGTAAATTTTTTCTGTCTTGCATTTTTTTTCTCTTCTTTTTGATATATTATTATAAATTCACTCGCATGGTCTCGCTCGAATATCTTTACATTTAGATAAATCGAATATGATTCCCTGTTTTTAGTGTAAACTCTTTCGTTTTTTGTTTTTGTTTTTTTTTGTTTTTGTATATTCAATTTTTTTGGTAGAAATATTAATTCATTGTAGTATTGTTTTTTTTTTTTCATTGATTAATGCATGTAGTTATGTAGTAATTCATTTTTTTTTTCTCTTCAAGAATTGTAAATCTATTTTGCTGTGCACTTTTTTTTTGAAAGTTTAATATTTTGTATTTACAAAAGCTAATAGATAAATTTACAGTTCAGTGTAATTAATTTTCTAAATATATTATATATATATATATCATAATATACGTATATATAATATATGTATATATATATATAATATATATGTGGTTAATATTCTGCCTTACTTATGACAGTAAAATTCATTTAAATCTTAAAAATTATATCGCATTTAATGTAATCTTGATTTATTAATAATTAATTTTAATTGATTGTTTCTTGTTATGTAATGGTTTTTTTTATATCGCATTTAATGTAATCTTGATTAATTAATAATAATTAATTTTAATTGATTGTTTCTTATTATGTAATGGTTTTTTCTTGATATATAATGTTTAGTAAAAGAAAAATATATATATAATATATTGATATAATAATAAAACATACAGTACGTAATAAGTTTCGACTTATAAATTTGACATTTATCGGGAAAATCAAAATTTTAATTAATTATAATACTGTATATGTATATAATGATATCATTTACGCTACGTACGTACAAACAAACGCAAACTTGAAAATATCCCTAATTGATTACATTTTGTTAATTATTTTTCTACTTAGGGAAATCTTATGAAATTTCCATTTACAGATACCGATACAACGGATTTCATATCGAGATTTCTATTTAAACATTATTATTTCTAATTATCATTAATGAATGATTTTTTGATTAATAATTTCCTATATCGTTAGTCATACAAAATGTAAATACGTAAAAAAAAGGGGTGTTTATCTTAATACGTAGACAAAAGGGAATCAACAATCATTATACTTCAATACCAATAATTGGTTTGACGCTACTGAATTACAGTTAAAATTTCTACGTACATAACTTCAATGGTTATAATATATACTACTAAAATAGGGGATTCACGACTATTGTTTGTGATCATTGTTATTCTTTAATGAGCTTGATTTGTGAATACAACTTACTAATGCTAATACATACTTTCATTATTCCTTAATAGGTGAAATTTCGGAATAGTTCAAATTTGGTTTAATATCGTAATGATACAAAAATATTAGTTTCTATATGGATAAAATTAATTGATACGTACCAAAATTCTAGTTTTACCCAATAATAAAAAAAAAAAAACGGTAAAATTATTATACAACTGTCTTATTAAAATTTATTTATTTATTTATTTATTTTATTTATATTTAGGATTTTATTATCCGAAGACAGTGACATGGAAAATTTTGGATAACAAAAAAATTGTTGACAATAACAATGTTCATAATGAATAATATCAAGAGGTTGTTTCTAAGATTAGCAAAGATGATATTTTTCATCTAAAATTGGCAAGTAATAATAAGAATCATCAAGCGACATACATATTAATCGCGAATAAAAAGAGAATAAAAGATTGGTAATCATGATGCA